AAGAGGTATTCACGTAAATCACCCAACTCTGCATGTTCTAAAATAAATACATAGGATTTATCGGGTGCTAAAGAATATAATAATAGTTAACTTTTATTAAATAATGCTCAGTGAAAAACGTATTCTAAATATATACGTAAATACTTACAACGACTAATTACGTTAAAAAATATGTATATAGCAGATAAGGAAATGATATTTATATCAATACATTAATTTAATTTTAACATAAATGTTTATTGCTTTAATGCCTCGATTAGTCATACCTTAACCCGTAAAATTCTATGATGTTTTCATGAGTTTTTATAGAGGAAAAAGTTTTAACCTACAAATTTAGATACATTACATTAATTAACATTATTTCTTTAAAAGAATAAAATATGCAGAATATATTATATACCTCTCTAGTAACTTCAATTTCGTCTGAATCATTAACAATTTTTAAGATGACAGGTATTTTATCGTCATTATTTTCTAGTACTGCTTTTCGAACTTTGCACGTAGTTCCATTGGTCACGTGATTGGACACAACCTGGTTTTATGTTTAATGATAAAAAGTTAATGCACAGTTAAATTAGATAAGTCAGATACTTTGTAACTCCAACTCGGGAAACTCGTGAGCTGAACATAATTCATTCGTTCTTTTTTTTTTATAATGTGTAAAATCCTCTTGATAAGTCAGACTACCATGATCGACCCGTCGTGCCCGACTTATCTGTATATTGAGACAACATTTCATTAATTTAATACTTACTAAAAGACTTTTAAATTCTAAAAACAAACAATTAAACATAAGTTTATTTATCTAGTTATTTATAACGTATGGGATAATTCGAACGTCATGTTCTTTATTCGTTTAAAACCAGACTGTTTATATACTTTTCTCTGGTTTTTTTGTTTCACGTGAATTTACAAATTAGTTCTTGTATTACTGATAGAAATAACGTGAAAAGTCATTTGGATAGTTAATAAAAAAAAAAATGCAGAAATAGAGGTAATACAAAAAGAGGTCATAAAGTTGCAACCAATCAAGATAATACTTTTTTTGGCGAATCAGAAAATGAGGGCTGAAGTGTGACCACAAAAGGAGTAATAAGTTATTTGATATAAAAGTATAGTACAAGTCTGGACGCAATTTGGTGATACAAATAACGTGAAAAGTCATTTAATAAAAAAAAATATGCCGAAATTAAATGCATATAAAAATACCCTGCTTATCATATACGTATATTATACCATATTTAGCAGAGTGGAGCTTTTTTAAATTTCTATAAGTACCGGTATTCTTAATGAGGAGAAATGGGTATTACAAGAAATACGTACATTGTTTTGTATGTAAACATAATGCTTAAGCCCAAACCTGCGGTACACGCTGCTGACATCCTATCTGGGATTTTTCAGAGTTTGTGCATGAGCTCATGCGACTTGGTGCTAAATTTTATACGACGAGAAACTTAATAGTTACTGGTAATGCTTCTCTTTCTACAACCCAGAAACTTTTTCTGATCATCCATAATCAATAATCCCGATAAAGTCCCCTCCATAATTCCGAACAAATATTTTACAAATGAGGTACATTCTTTTTTAATGTATCGAAGGGAGACGGAATGTGACCACAGCATGCTGAAATTGCGGAAAGAGAAAGTCAAAATGCAGCGGAGAACAACCAAAATGCGAGAGATACTTTCGTCATGGACTCGGTGCGTGTACCTCCGAGTTATAATATTGACAAGATGGTTCTGTGAACATCGATACACTTTGAGATTGCACAGGAATTTCGTTGAAGCGCGAATTGTGATTAGGGTATGAACAGTGCTTATTGTGTGCACTATCAAATAAAGGTTCTGTTTTAGGTATTGAAGAGTTAAATGCATTTATAGCAACAAATGTCCATAGTGATATCATCTGCCGTGGAGACAAGAATAAGAATTCAGTTGAGAATAGTGAATCAACCAGTCATAAATACTGTAATTAATTAAAGTGGTTCAAACCTAATTTATTTCTTTGCGCAAGCCTTCATCAACAACGTTTCTTACTCCAAGAGGCGATCCGCTCTTTTGTTAAAAGGTTCTGAGCTGTTTTCGCCTAAGTATTGGGAATTATGATATCTTATGTACAGTTTTGTAAGAGGAAAGCAAGGATCGGGTAACGCCATTAGGGTCACGTGATCGACCATCGGCTCGGAGAAACAGATTTGAAACAATGTAATTAGCAACAGAAACAATCAAAATCTCTTACATTCGAATTATTGTTATTTTTCCAAAAGTTTTTATTTGTTTCGATAGAATTCTCGGTAAAATCTCATAAAAGAAGGAATAGCGAAACAAAGGAGGGGAGAGATTAATTATGAATAAAATTTTTTTTTGTTAATTAGTATTCATAGCATTTTAAGTCACCGACATTCAATAAAAAACATCGGCCAAATTCTACGCCTCAAAAAACTTTCTTTTAGATTTAGTTATTTCTTTCTTCCTGCCGCTGGGTACGCGAAAGCTACCACTAATTAGTGACCTAACTTGTGACAATATTAATGTTAATAATTAGCTATTGAATAGGAAGTAGAATATAAGTATAATATAAGAATATGAAAATAAAGTAACCATTTATAATATGCAATTATATGAGATATTTTTAATAATTCCATTACTTTTGATTGATATTTTTTTTCACAATAATATATACAATGAACCCAAATATTATTTAATTAAAGATTTTTTATTTTTATTCGAATCTGAAAAAATGATATCTACTGTATTGCACATATTAATAAATAAAAAATTTATTTTATACTATAAATAATTAGATTTAATAATTATCTTATTAACTCTAAGTTTTTCTAGATTGACATACTATAGGTTTTTTTGTTTATTTTTTCATAAGTTGATATTAATTTTTTCTTAAATTTTTTTTTAAATCAAAGTTAATTCATAAATGCAATTTATTATAATAATATGTGGCATAATTAATTATTTCTAATAATCAAAACTATAATATTTTTAAATTTTTTTTAAAAAAGTATAAATATATGGATTTTTTTTTAAGAAACAAGATAATTATTATATTTTTTGACTTTATTATAATTTTAGGCTCAAATAAGCAAGATTATAATTTTGTAAAGTGATATATATCTCTTTTTGTTAGAAAATTTAATACAAGACTCAATAAATTGATTTATTCATTTATACTTCTAAAACTATCCAAGAAATATAGTAAAAAAAATTTCAAAATCTATATTAAATATTTCAAAATCTATATTAAAAATTTAAATAATGTTTAATTATCTAGAGATAATTAAATATCTAATTATATAAAGATATTATAATCAAATTAGACAGATTTTTCTTCAAGTTATAATTAAAATTTGATATGCTTATTTTTCAAATTGATTTAATATATAGCAACAAAGATATAACAAATATTAATTCTAATTGGTTTAAACTTCAGTTTAATAAATTATTTAAATACTTAAATAGTATTTAATTAAATCTTTAACTAAAAAAAAAAATTGGTTTTTATTAAATATACTGATGCATATCCATAATAAATCTGTTACTAATTCAAAATCAGGCTTATTTAATAATAGATAAATAATTATTTCTTTTGATTAATCAAAAATATTTGTTAATAAATATTTTTTATTTTTCTCTTTTAGATTGCTAATCTTAATTTTTTATCAACATTTAAATAGTTTCAAGGTTTCACAAGCAATAATCTTCTTTTTAATAAAGTAAATTTATTAATTAAAAGTATTTCTTTATTAGTTAATTACAAAAGAATTTTATAATTAAATATTTATTACTTATTACTTCAATTTTATATATTATTATTATTTCTATTATATATAGATTATTTTTACTTTATTTATATAAATTATAATATGTCTCTTAAACTATTATATATTGTTATGGGCAAAAATGGCACAGGCATGCAACGCGAAATCACGTTACGTCATCCTGTTGTCTCGAATAGTAGGG